AGGTGTGTCTAGGAATGACGTTTTATGATGCAAACATTGATTTACTTTCTGTGGCAACTGAAATGAAACTAACTATAGTACCAAGCACTATTTTTTCCCTACAATACTACAGGGAAGAATTAGTGCCTGCTGCACTATTTTGTTCCTACAATACTTAAGGGAAGAATTAATGCTTGCTGCACTATTTTCTCCCTATAATACTATGGGGAAGAATTAGTGCCTTCTGCACTTTTTCTCATAATGTAACAGCACTTTGTTTCCCTCTTACTGTAGTGGAAAATTTTGGAGGGAATTGAAGTTGGTGAACTTGGCATTTTGATAGCAAAACTCCAAAATAAAATCACCATTTCAAGCCATTCTATGCATGCTCAATGGTATGTGACCACAAATTTGCCAAATTGAAATTTGCCAATTACCAAAATATAGCAATTTGCCAAATTTAACTCCCTCCAAAATTTCCTGCTATATGGGATAGCTATGCATCATTAATCTGGTCACCTTTAGCATTCCACCATACATTTTGCAAGTACAATTAGCTACATAAACCATTAACATAACGTTGAACATTAAATAACATCTAAAGAGTACATTTGTTAACTTGTTTGTAATAATCAATAACATAATCTGATACATTGCGTCTTGATTTTCATGACATAGATGGGAATGGCATGTAATATATCTTTTTGAGACATTCAATTATGTGTTGTCTCATGTGTGACTGATCGAATATATTGCTAGCAGGATCATCTCCATAAAGAATAGATATTGCGTATGCTATTGCAAAGCAGGCACAATCCTTATCACTTTTGCTTCACCAACCACAGTACTTTCACCATAGCAGATCCATTGAGGGCTATGAGCTGCTTCTTTAACTCTGAGTGATGATCTTTGTCTACAAGGAGTCATAAAGAAAAGCAAGGCCATCCCTAAAATGACTAGTAACCCAATTGTCCCCAAAGTTGTGAAAAAATAATGAATCCTTTGTAGCCAGCTGAATGAGACTTAGTTTCTGAGTATACAAACACGACTGAATCATTGGCATGTCTGGGAATTGTTTTGATAGTTTAGCAGTAGCTATGACATGCTTGTCAGAAAGGTGATGGGTTCCTTCTAGCTGTAAACAATCATTTTCCTGAAGATTTAATTCTTTTATCCAGTAGTTTACAGGACTAGTTGGTATTTCGTCAATGAAGATCAGCAAGAGCATACCTGTGTACGGGTATAACAAAATTGATGGCACACGGTAATAAAAATAATATACATGTACCTCCAAACATCTTGAAATTTTGATAACTGCAGTTTTTTCTCATCATATCACTTACACAATGTATCTTTATTCCAAAATAAAGCATACTGGAGGTTATCTTCACTAAAAAGGAGACCTGTACCAAAATTACATTGCATCACATAAATTTTATAGCGTTCAATACCCTTTGCCTTTCTGCCATCTCTTCCAGCCCTTCCAAACTGTTGGAATAATTCCTCAAATGTACTGTAGGTGAGCAACCAAGTTTAACAACCAAGTCTATATTAGGAACATCTATACCCATTCCAATTGCAGAAGTGCACACCATTAGCTATAAATGTACATAAATTTGTTATCATACACAGAATTAACGCTTGATACACTTGCTTGTATGTCAGAGTCATCAAAACACCGATTCTCTATTATCTTCAATTTGTTGTGGCTAGATAAATGTACGATAGCTGATGCTGGGTTGTTTTATAGGGACTTTGAAATACTGGCTGTCCGATCACTTTGGATACAGTAGCACACAAATTGGCTATTTTGTTTAATGTCTACTTCTCTTCTCTTCAACTGCACAGCATCACATACTGCGCATGCTCACAAAAATAATAATTAATTAACACCAATTAACACACATGAATAATAATAACATCATCATTTAATTCCAAATGCACTCCCCTGTTGACTAGTAGATAATACTAGTCAATTACAAAAATTAATCAATACATGTATCAATAATAACAGTAAATATACACCAAATTACATGCATCAAATAATAATTAAAGTCCTACAACAACAAACATCGTACACACTCTCATGCTTACAGAACATAATAGTTAAAACATAGATTGTACTAGAATACTGTCTCTTGCAGTAATAGCTGCAGCTCTCTTGGATCTTCTCTGACCAGATTCCTGGTTGTTGATCGGCATGGTTGGCTCATCGATATTATCATTCTCAGCCAGGTCAATATCTTCAGTGGGATCTTGATCCTGACTGTCAGGAATTAGATTGTCATTCTCATTGACTTCTAGAGGGAATAACTTCTGAATAGGTCTCTTAAGCAACTTGGACCTTGTCTCTCCAGTAAAGACTCTAACCACAGCACACCGTATTTCTCTATCTGCACCAACAATAGTATCCTCAATTTTCCCCAGATTCCAAAATCCTCTTCGCTTCTCATTGCTGTGGACAACTACAATATCTCCCACTCTTATCTTTCTCCAAGTAGACAGTAAGTTTCCTCTGAGCCTATGTGCTTCTCTAAGATCTAACAAATACTCTCACTTCCATCTGCTCCAGAACTCATCAATCATATGATTGAAATACTTCATTCTCATGCTGAGAAGTTGTGGAGTAGCATTGTAGTCTTCATCATCTCCATCATAGCATTGTCTATCAGGAAAACTTAGTACTCTGCGTTCAATAAGAAGGTGAGAAGGAGTGACTGGCTCTTCTAGATCATCATGACTGACATAAGATAGTGGTTGTGAGTTTACAATCATCTCCACTTCAGTAACAACTGTCAGCAACTCCTCCCTTGTGAGTTTAGCTCTCCCCACAACCTTCCTAAGACACCTCTTGACTGAGCGGATGAGCCCCTCAAACACTCCACCCCACCATGGGGCTCTTTCAACATTAAATGTCCACTGTATTACGTTCTCCTCCAGGTAATGACTCGCTTCCTTGTGATTCATTATCTCCTTGAACACTCATGCAGCTCCCTTGAAGGTCTTTCCCATTGTCTGAAACAACGCACCTTGGGAGTCCTCTTCTTGCTACAAATCTCCTAAAGGACGTAAGGAAAAACTCAAGAGACATATTTCATAATATATCAAGGTGTATGGCTCCAGTGACACAACCAGTTTATATACATATCCAAACTTTACCACCCACATCCCACTTACTACTCCTTACATACAATGGACCAGCAAAATCTACTCCTGTGAAGGTAAACGCTGGTTCTTCTGTCACTCTGAATGTAGGTAAAGGAGGTGGTCCAGGAGCATCATAAGGGCGTCCCTCAGTCTTCATACAGACTACACATGGATCAAATATTCTCTTCACAGTAGATCTTCCTCTCACAATCGAGTATCTCTAGCGAACTTCAACCAATGTCTCTTTAACACAATTGTGGAGTACTCGCGTGTGCGCCCTTTGAACAACTGGATCTGTAGAGTGATGTGTGTTAGGCAGTAGCACAGGATGCTTAGTATTATAAGGGATGTCTGCATTAGATAATCTTCCCACGCATCTCCATACTCCTATTCCATCTTAAAATAGCTGTAGCTGGTGCTTCCACTCCTTGAATCTCCTCTCCTCCACTAAGCTCAACTGCACATCTTTGATCCACATTAGCTCTGCCTTCATTACTATTACTTCATCCGCCAAGTGCTGTCTTATCCTCACTTTCACTCTCACATTTTCAATGAATCTCAGTACTTTGCTGTAACACGTAACAAATATGTCAAACTACTATATCTCTACCTTAATGAGATCAGATATTTTCACACACTCACTCACTAATAATCCTAAAGACTTGCGATCAGATGCTCTTAATTCTTCAACACGCTCTTGAGGCATCTTCCCCAGTGATCCCTTTCTCTCACACTCAAGTAACTGACTGGGTCCATGAAACCACAGCCTATTATTAATCAATTCAGCTGGCCTTATCCCTCTTGATGGTAGATCAGCTGGATTGTCTTTACCCAAACAATGTTTCCAGCAGGCAGCAGGAACAAGCTCTCTAATTTCCCTAACTCTGTTGTCCACAAAAGCCTTCCATCTTTATGCTCTCCCTTGATCCAATACAGAACAACTACAGAGTCAGTGTAACACACAGATGGTAACAACGCGATCTCATGCTGTAACGCCTCGTGAATATTGTGAACAAGTTGCGATAATAACAACATTCTTAGAAGTTCTAATCGCGGAATAGTCTGCGCACTAGTTGGAGCTACTCTAGTCTTTGCTGAATCAAACATCAAATCTCTTCTTCAGTACAGCATTCCAGATACACAACCGCCGCGTATGCTCTCGTGGAAGCATTGCTGAAACCACGTAGTCTCCACTGCACATCAGTCTTCAGGCTCAATTGCTTGTAGTAGCATCTAGGAATGAGAACAGGTTCAATCTTCATGATCTCGGTGATCAGTCCAATCCACTTGTAGAGGAGCTCTCTGCTAAGTTCCTGATTCCAGTCTATCATCGCGCAATGCAAGTCCTGTAAAAGTATTTTGAGCTTGATTGTCACTGGTGAAACAATTCCAACTGGATCATAGACTATACTGATGACGCCCGCAACGTGACGCTTCGTTGGGTTGTGAATATTAGTTTCCGCTGCAATTGATCGTAAATCCATAATTAATACATCGCGCTTAGGATCCCACACAATACCCAATACTATGTAATTCTCCTGAAGATGGTGAAGGACCATCTTTACTCTCTGAACAAACCAATTTCCTTAAATTGAATCCCCCCTTAGCAAGTATATCCTTAACACTCTCATAAAGCTTTC